TATTTTTGAAATGGTATGTAAGGTAAATATAATATATGAATTTTTCCCTTATTTCAAAACATTTTCTTGTACATACTTATTTTCAACCAAATATTTACACAAAACAGGGCTTAATTAATTTTTCATTTTTAGTTGAATTCTTGTGACTTATATTGTTTTCAACATGTTTGATGCTTGCTCTGTCCCACAAAAATAATTATATTTCCTTTTTCACATAAATTAAGAAAATTTAGTTAATATACTTGAAATAATAAATTTTACTATCATTTTTCATAATACACCCCTACACTAATGTAATCAATATTCAAGGTAATTAAATTATGCAAAGGTAATTAAACTATTCTTGGTACTAATTATTGTTTCATGCAAGAATCAAGGTAATTAATATTCCAAAATCATTCAATACAAATACAAATGCATAAATGTTAAGGAAGATGAAATAATTTTTTTTTTGGTTTTTAATTATTGTTCCAATTACAATTGAATAATAGAGTAATTAATATTTAGGATGACATAGCACATTAAATAGGGTCATATTATGGAACTAATATATTAACTACACTCTCAAATGAAAAACAAGACTATAATTTATGACAGACAAAAAAGGAAAATACGACTATTGAAACAAAGTGAATGTCAATTAACACATAGTAATAAATAATAATAAAGTTCTATATGAGAGAGAAATACGTTAATGCTTGGTGCAATCCTCATTGGTATTCTAACTTTATATTATGTTTTTATGTATTCGCATATTTCATATAGATATTGTTGAATCGTAATTAAATATTGAACTAATTTATGTCGAGAGAAAATTAGCAAATAAAAAATATTAGTCGTTAACATTAAACCAGAATTGGCTTTAAGAGTAATCGGGGGTTAGAGCAAGTTAGTGCCTTTTGCGATTTAATCAATTCAAGACTTTGTTGTTTATTTTTAATTACTTATTTTAGAGATGATAAGAAATCAAAATCAAGCAATTGATTATGTGTTTCTTGATTAGAGCCAGCAGTTACATAAAACATCAATCCCATTATTTCGACACTCTATTCATCATTATATTTTTTTTAATTATAATTTATCTGCTTGTTGAATAAAATCGACAACAGTTTTTAGACACTATTGCCAAAGATTGTTTTATTAACTTCTTGCTTTAGTTAATTTTAGTTTTAATTTTCTTTTCTGGGTTACATTACTACCACGGAACAAAGAGAAGCCATGGAACGACTAGCGACATGGAGATTTTTTCCCAGAAATTGATGATGACGATTTGCCCGTGGAATTATTTTTTCTTCCACCAGTCGGCAGTCGTTAATGAGGACGAACGTGTTCTTTGGAGATTTATGGACATCATCGGTGACAAAGTTTTTGCTCCTACTCCTGTACTTACAATTTGGATTGACAAAACAACCAAGGAGGTTGGGAAGAATGTGGTTGAAAATGAATTGGAAAAAATTGAATTTTATAAAATGGGGCACAAACAGGGACTTATAGTTTATATGAATCACCCATAAAGATCAAGAATCCACCCGTTTCTGGAAAGGAATCAGATATATACATACATTCAGTTATAAAAGAGGAAAAAACCATTTGTACAGAAAAGTGCTTCACAGAAGCGTTCCAGATGATGCGTTGGCAGCTTTTGATTGGAACTGTGTTTTTGTGTTTTTTGCCACGAAGAAATGAAAAATCGCCAAGCTATCAAAATATTATTGAATCTTCCATTAGACTATGGGAGCGTCATAAATTTAACTATCTGCATTATTACCATCTTTGTCTGCCGAGTTAAGCTCGCCTCTGGAGATCATATTCATGATACTCTTGGTGGCTTGGCCGAAAGCACGAGAACTCTTCTTTGAAGCCCCCGCAACAATCGGTTTCGGTGAGATGGTTGGCAAGTTTGCTCTCTCCTGAATCATCGCTGTTAAAGGCATTAGCTATAATCCGCTTACTACAGGAGAAAAGAAAGCCGGAGGAGTTTTTGGATAAATAGAAAATTAAAGAAAGAATTCATATGCATTGTCTGTTGACGAGCAAGGGAACCTATTTGTTTAATCCAGCTTCTGCTGCTTGCACTGCTTGAGCAGATTTGCTGACCCCATCCGCTATTTCTTGGCTGAGAACCACGTTAAACGTCAATCTCAAAACAACGTAAGATGGAAGCTTCAATTAAATGAATGTCAGATACATTGAGATGATGAGGAAAGAACGATTTCCATATGGGAAGTAGTAAGACATGTTTTCCAAAGCTTAAAAAGTTCACTTATAAGAAAATAAGTTTAAAAATAATTTCACTTATTTTATTGATTAGAATTGGAACTAAGTTACTTAATCTAAAAGCAACATAAGAATTACTTTCAAAATAACTAACTCTTTTATTTCCACAAAAGTGATAATAAAGTAACACATCAACACACATTGGGAAATAAAGTTCGTTTAATTCAAGCTTAGCCAAATATCCTCTTAAATCTCTTCCGTCTCTTCTGTTTTTCTGCATAATTTGCGTGTATTTCAGGAAAAAAACCAACTTGTGTGTGCATTTCCCAAGCTTGAAGTGCACCAAATTCTGGAACTCTTGAAATATCGCTGGAGGTCTTACTACTATCTTCGTAAGTATCAACTATGCTAGCATAGACCCCACAGAAGGACCAATGACATTCTCAATCAATTCCATGTCACAAGAACTGCACATCTAGGTACTTGATGAAAATCACCGATAAATGATCAACCAAAATGATAGTATGATTTGTTGCCAAATCTAGGGCAGCTCAGGATTCGGATAGTCATTGACTTACATTAGATTCTACGAGTTTAGCCAAAATGAAAGACATCTAGCTCTTGTTTGGGCTCCATCAATTCAAAAATGCATTTTTCTCTCTTCTTTTTAATCACATATTTTTCAATAAAATACTATTACACGTGAATCCAAAACTTTTCCCTATTTAACCACGCATTCTTAAAAAAATCACGATTACAAAATACACTTGGGATCGTAAATCCCAAATTTGTCTATGAAGAACGGATCTACTACCGTCCATGTATGATGCCCTGTTTGTTTCGATTGAAAAAGTTGATTAAAAATCTAAATCAAAGACAATAACCAATTTTAACCACACGTTTAATGTGATTCACAACTTTTCAATCACATATTCCATCAACTTTTATCAAAATTTACTAAAAATCTGATTTTTATCTAAACCAAACAGGGGCTATATATCAAACAACAAATTTCTCTACGCTTAAACTTGTTGAAGCTGATATATCATACATCTAACACGTCTTTATTGTCATTTTTGCTGCTCAAAATTGATATCGACGTGCATTTCTGCATTTGTCTTGCTCATATTTCATATTCTAAATTAGTCATTATGATATCTGCCTAGAAAAGTAATCAATCCACTAGCAGACTTGTTGTATTATGACAGAGTAGGCTCTCATGTGCAGAACTTCATTTATCAATTACACAAGTCCTGGACCACCAATTAGTCTATTTTAATATACTAGACAAGAAGAGAGTAAAGTGCAACTATTAATATAGAGAAATCGCATGCAAAACTTAAAAACCAAAACAAAACATAGAAGAACCTCTAATTACTCAAAACATTGTCTTTTGGACATAAAGGTCGCAGTGCACATTGCCATTGCCATTGCCCACAGCTTTTACATTAGACATTTAGGATTTCAAATCCATGCTAATGAATCAATCATGATTATTTAAAAAAAAAAAAAGATATAATTACAACATAATTGAATGGCCCGTTTGGTAGGACTTTTAAAAGGCCAAAAGCTGCTTTCGAAACTTAGGAGTTGCTTTTGACACGTTTTAGTAATTTTTTGAAAGTGTTTTGTTTGGCTAGAAAAACTTTTAGAGAAAACTGATTTAAGGTAGCTTATTTAGGAAGCTATTCTACGAGAAGCAGAAGCAAAAGGAGAAGTATTGCCAAACGTGCCCGAAGTCAAACTTTCCAAAAGTTTTCGAGGCGTAGAGATGATTTAATAATCTTGTTCTCTTTCTTCATCTTTTGGCACACGAGTAAAACCATATTTATTTTTCTGATTTTTTTTTAATATTCCACGAGATTAATTTTGTTCTAGAAAAGGACTCCCTGGTCTTGAAATGAATGTAAAAACAAAGGTTGAAAACATTCCTCTTCATCATGGCCATATGCTAAAATGAAAATGACATGCTTAGCTTGTTACCTTAAGTCACTCAATTCTAGAGTGAGATCACTTATTTCCATGCCAGAAAGTAGAGGTGTCAAGACGGGCGGTTCGACCATGACCCGTGAAAATCGGCCCGTGAAAACCGGGACCGCGGGCCGACCCGTGACCTGTGCGGGCGG